CCTATGAGGAGAGGCTGAGGGACCTGAATCTCTTCAGTCTCCGCAAGAGGAGACTGAGGGGGGATCTTGTGGCTGCCTACAACCTTATCAGGGGCCACCAGCAGGGACTCGGGGAAAGTCTGTTCACCAGGGCCCCCCTTGGAGTCACCAGGAACAATGGCCACAAACTGAGGGAGGACAGGTTTAGGTTAGATATTAGGAAGAACTACTTCACCGTAAGGGTGGCCAGAGCCTGGAATAGGCTTCCCAGAGAGGTGGTACTCTCACCTTCCCTGGAGATCTTCAAGAGGAGACTGGATAGGCACCTGGCTGGGGTCTTATGATCCCTGCCACCCCCAGTGCTCCTTCCTGCCCATGGCAGGGGGTCAGACTAGATGATCTGTCTAGGTCCCTTCCGACTTATTGATTCTATGATGCCTTGTCTGTATTTAGAGTTTTACTGGTTGAACTTTAAATCAGCTTAAAAATCAATTTAGGCAAACCAGAACAAAACCCTGTGTGAACCCAATTTTATTTTAACCTGACTTACATGAAAATAGTTAAGCTCAGTCAGGTTCTAAGTTAATGTAAACCAAGAACTTAGCTAAATCAATATGAACCAGGTTTAGAGCCAATTAAGTGCATCATTATTTTTAAAAAATCATGCTTTTATTCAGAAGTAATACACTGTTTAATGGAGAAAAGAATTTTCACACTACAGCTGTATCTGGAAATTAGCCAGTTACCTTGCGATGAACTTTGAAGCAAAACCAAATCCATTTTTGCCCTTTGCTAATAATAGGATTTATTAATCAGATGGTTTTATAAACGTTCCCCAACTAAATTATGTAAATGCACTTCTCATTTATTTTTTTCACTTGAGTTATAAGATCTGATCAGTTCTTCCTATTTGTCAGAAGAGATTTTCAAGGATCTTTGGAGGACTTGAGTAGCAGTAACCAATGAGTGGTACTTCTTATCCACAGCTTTGGGAGATTTTGATTCCTCGAGTCTGAGACATGAATCCTGATTCATCCCAGCACTTAAACATGTGTTTTGGCCTGTCCATAGCTTCCCTAGCACTTCACCAAATTACATCACAGATTTATAGGACAGGATTTTTCAGACTTCAAAATCATGCCAAGCAGCTCTGGAGAAAAGAGGAAATGAAGACATCATTGCAAAAACAGCAGAAAAATGTTTAAGAAATAACATCTTTAAGACAGTCTTTATACAGCACAAAGGAGCAGGGAGGGATATTGTTTTTGCTTTGAAGTTCTCCATTATGGTTAATCGGGATTTATACGAGTTAATGTGTCATAATAATTTATATCTCACTCACATTACAATAGAATGCAGTCTTTAAGCCTTTTGAAGAGACGGCCTTGAAAAATATAATGTGTGTGTGAGGGGAATAAAGTACCTTAATGGCTTTAGGCTGGGCAAAATTAGACACATGTGAGTGAGATTAATGGATGTTCCTGGCAGGATAATGCTTTGCATGTTCCCAAACATCTGTCCCACAAAGTCACAGCTGCAGAAGCTGTTCCTGTCATAAATTAATGCCTGCTGTCATGGATATCGCTGATCCTATGAGAGAACTGTTTTATGAGTGGGACAGATGAAAAATACAAAGCAGAGCTGAGCAGGTCTGGCATTCTTGCCAGCAATGCAAAGTTAATATTCTTGTCCCATAAGAATTACCTGCAATGGACAGAATAGGTCAACTAGAAAATGTGCTCTGCTTTTCAACATGGTCCATGTTTACAGTTTGCTCAAATAGGGATCCCATCCTTATCTGTATCCAGTATTACCATATTCCAGGAATAGTTCTGCTAGTGGAATAAGGCACCAATCAAGAAGAATAAGGATGGCAGAATCAGGCGCATATGTTTTGAAACACAGTTTAACAGAAAAATAAACTTTCACCAATCAATCATGACCACCTGTGGTTCAGGTGGCAACTATGCATTAGAACCCTGCTACTCTCCATTAGTAACTGGAAGACCCGCTTACGTAAATAACTGAGCGTTGCAAATTAGCAGTCAAGTGAACAGAAACCACAAATATGCTATGCTATAAAATGCACTTTGTTCAAATGAGTCTGAATTTCAAAAGTATCTAAATAATTTGAGCCATAGTCTCACTGCAAGTTCAGAGAGGGTCAGATTTTTAAAAGCATTTAGACATGTATACATGCCGACAGGAGCCTAATGAGATTTTTCAAAGCCCCTTGGAATTAATCTTTTTATCATTAGAGAGCAGGAGCACTGCTGAATTCCCCACAAGGTATCTGTTTGCATTATGGGTGCCTGAATACTTCAAAAAATCTAGCCCTTTGGCACTTTTGATAATTTCCCCCATAGGGCCTAAGTCATGAGAGTCTGGCAGCCCTCCACTCCAGAGGCATAATTAGCACAGTCTGCACCCTGGGATTCATTCCTTCCCCCAGTAAGGAGGCCCCTAGAGCTACTAACCCCACTGCCAATGAAATTATTGGACACGCTCAGTATTTGACTTTCCAATCACAGCCTCACCTAAGAATTCTCTTTCTTCCATGTATTCCCTTTCTTTTACTTAAGCTTGCCTACATTTTACTGCGCCCAGCTCAGTATTTGGATAAAGAAATCCAAATCTAAAATGGAAGGCATATATTTATAGAATAAGTCCCTCCTAGGTTTGGGGTTACATTAGAGAGATGAATCAGGACCACATAGAGCAGAGGTGGGCAAAATACGGCCCATGGGCGAGATCCAGCACACCAAGGCATTTTGTTCAGCTTTCAGTGTGTCCCTTGGCCCTGCCTGGCCCAGGCTTGCAGTGGGGCTGGGGCGGTGCAGTGACTGGACATCATTTCCCAGCAGTGGCTCCTTCCAGCTGCTGCTGCCAGACCCAGCCCACTGCCCAGGTACCCCAGCCTGGTTGCCCCCCTGCCCCACAACTGCTGAGAGTGGGACCTGCACAAGCAGGGAGCACAGCTGGGCGGGTAGGATGGGGCTGTGGGCAGGCAAGGAGCTGCATTTGGGAGCAGGACAGATGGGTGGGGTGGGGGCAGGGGTCTTGGGATGGTCACAGCATGGAGCTGGGGCCCACAGCAGAACCAGGATCTGCTCCCTGCATGTCCCTGTGATGGGTGCTGGTTCTGTGGGTAAGGGCATGCAGGGAATGGATTGTGGCTCTGCTTTGGGCCCCGGCCCCTGCTGGCACCACCCTATGATCTGATGCCTACCCTGCCCTGCATACCCATCGCACCCCAGATGCTGTCTCTGCCCACCTGTGGCTCCATCTCACCTTCACAGCCACACACAGACCACTTAGGGAGTTTTGATGAGCTGTTACAAGGGAGGCAGGGCAGGGGGGAAATGTGTTAACCCAGCCCGTGACAGCTCACTAAAACTCTCTAAGTGGCCCTTCAGCCAAAATAATTGCCCACCCCTGATATAGAGAGTTTATAGGGTGACATTCCAGCACCCAACACACAACTCAGATAAACAAGTTTTATAAAGATGACCATTTGCATGTGTGTGTGTGCGCGTGCATGCATGTGCACACATGTAAGACCCAGCTGCAAGAGATTAAGCTGGTTACTGCATTAGAGAGGAGCTTACAAGAGGCTGGTCAAAATCATTCTTCTCTCTCCTGGTAGTGGGGAAGTTTAGGACTGCCTAACCACCAATATTCTTTAGGCAATTTGAAAGTTTCTTAAAGGAAGTATGGATTATCTCAGTTATGATGCATGTCAGTTGTACTTTGATAGACTTCAGGAGCCAGAGGTTAAAGACACAGGTAATAGGCTACACACTCCTCTGGTGATAAGGTTTGGTTTTATTCCTGGTTCTATTACTTTAGCAAAGCTCATTATTTTCTTGGGGAGAGGGTAAAATTAAACAAACCAGCATTATATTGCTGGGGTCATTTGACCCCAGTACTCTTTCCTGTCATGGCAGGGGGTCAGACTAGATGACCTTCTCAGGTCCCTTCCAACCCTAGAAACTATGAAACTATGAAACTATGTATAACAGAGCCTATTGTTTCTTAATGTTTCTACTACAGAGAAAGTCAATATAAATTACCTGGGGAGACTTTATTTTGTAAATCTCTCTAAAATGAACAGTGTCTTAGTTTACTAACTTGTTGACTACTCTTATTACTAGTACCAGTCACATATGGACAGTAACATCTGGACAGTATTGCATCTCTCTGCTGGAATATAAAGACATATCATTTATAAACAGATCTGGCTGTCCCTGGAACCTACATATTGTCGACCTTGGGATGCAGTACTACATTTTAATTAATACTTGTTTATTGCATAATTTTGTGTTGCATTAGTTAAGTAATGCATTAGTTGCATTTCCTTTCCCACTAGTGGTATGGTACTGAGTTAATGTGGGAAAATAAATTAAGGCTTAGCCTATTTAAAGACATCCACCTGTTTAGAAACATCAACTGCCCACCAAGAAAGCATAGTTCAGCAAAAGCTCTACTGCAAATACGGAGGCAAGTCTCTGACAGGCTTGTGGCCATCTAAGTCAATATATGGCAATGGAGCAGTCAGGGTCTGAAGAGAGTCAGAACCTTTCAATCCATGAACGCTTCAAAACTGACATTCCTTCCATCAGAGAGCTGGAATGTATTTTGGACAGCTGCAGGATGGAATTAAACCATGTGGATGAAGTATGGCCTAATCTCTATATAGGTGACATGTAAGTGTTATTTAAAGCTGACCTATTCTTTAGGGTATACAGTATATGGTAACCTATATTGTCCAACTGTTTTACTTGGCTGTATTGGATAAACAACTTGGCAGTCTTAAAGGAGACCTCCTGAATAGAACAGGGGAGACTAAAATAGCAAGAAATCAAAGGGACAAATATTTCCCATCTGGAATATTATCCCTATTATTTTATTTTACTTAACTTATAATTATTTAAGAAATGGATTTTACAAATACTTCAAACCTTATCATATTGGTGTGTATATCACTGAGACCTGAAAAAAGAAAAAATGTCCTTCAAATGTACACAGCTCCACTATCCACACAATACGTTTTTCAGCAGAAAAATCATTTTCAGTTTAAACCAATGCAATATTCTAGGACTTGTTTGCCATGCACGCTGATTGCAGCTAAAAAAATACAGCCACTTAAATGAAATTGGGCCCATTAATGAAATTTGTGGCTAATGGAAGCTACTTTTGGGATATTTTTTTCACTCTTACAGAGCTGGAGTAGCTACAATATTCTTGTATATTGATTCAGCAAAGCACCTGACACATGCTTACCTTTAGCAAGTTCTTTAGTAGTACGAGGCCAATGGAATGTAAGAACATTTTTAAAGTTATATAATTACTTAAGCAGTTTCCTGAATCAGCACCTTAAATATGAAGAGGGGCTTACAAGAAAAAGCTTCAGTTCAACTCCTTCCTCCAGTGCCCTACAAAATAAATTTCCTGAACTCTTGCATACAGCATCTTACCTTTGAAGAAGGTTAGTACAACTGAGAAAAAAATGGAAACTTTCCCCACAAAGTATCCAATATATGCTTTTCTCAAGGTTGCAGTAATTCTTTGAAGTGAAACTATTTTGGCTCCAATGCTACTGGGAACTTACTTTTAACCTTAATCAAGTCTTTTGTTTAATAACACGCTGAAAAGAACTTACCTTCAGTTATGTAAAGATGTACTAATTCTTATAGTTCCTTATGCTTTTTGTACAAACATAGCCTACTGTCATTTAGAAATATGATGATACCTAGTAGGTCTCTTTTTCTAGTAAAGTAGGTTCCGTGTTCATAACTTCATGTTCAGCGCTAATGGGATTGCTTACATGCTAAGTGAAGCATATGGTTAACTATTTGCTAGAATACCATATCAAATATGAAGGCATTTGTTAAATGTCAGAGGTGGATAAATTAGGCCCTAATCAAAAAAGTTGTTTGTATGCAAAGCTCCCAATGAAGTTAATCAGAATTCAGAACATGGAGGGGCTTTCTGGCTTGGAACCAAACTGGGAAATTGTCTGCTGTCCTGGTGGGGTCCATTCCAACTTTACAGAAGTTGTGTACATAGAGCTTGTTGAGCTGAGTTTAGCATGGGTGTTTGTTTCTTTCTCTAGCCTAAGAAGGCATAGATTTATGCAAAGTAGACAAGTCTAGAACCTGTTTTTATGATTATATTTTGAAAATGAAGTCTTAATAGTGAACAGATAGAGTATAAAAAAGAAGCAAGCTTGTGTTGGGGAAATAAAAACATGTGTTAAGAAATTACAACAGTATTTTACATTTCAAATATGCAAATGCAAATCAGGAGTTATAATCTGCTCCCCAAGTGTAGTCAGTTCGAGAACTGTGTAACTGAGGGCTTGTCCACAATGATGATTTACCATAATTACTGTTGGTACCTGGAAGAAAGGAGGGGCAGGGACAGAGTGGTTAAGAGGTTTCATTATGGCAAAATTAATTCAATTCTTACTCTGGACTCATGCTGAAAGTCAACCCAGTTCACCCAGCCAAAAATAGGTACCTGGTTGTTTAGACTGTGCTACAGAAACTTAACCATTCCAGATTTACACTTTTGAATTTTGGGGGGCTAATCACTGATGTTTAGCCAGCTGGACAATTCATTGTGGAGAGGCAACACCACTAACAATTTGTCCTGGTGCAGGTATAGCAGTAGCATAGACCTAAGAGCAGAATTCGGTCAGTTGAATTCAATGTCTGTATTATATGAAAGCAGACAGCTTGATTTGGCTCACTATGGTCTAAACCTCACTGACTTCACTGAACTTTGAATCAGGCCGTATGACTTGGAAAGCACCTCTCTGCATTTTTAGATGGATTTCCCTTAAGCCTCACAATTGCATTATGAGTTTTTACTTTGTAGGACTTACTCAAAAAAGGAACACTTTGCAGAATGGATGGTGAAAGTGAAAGTCTCCAGGTTCTTCTATTACTCCCTAACTCATAGGGACTTTGTACCCCTGTTTTGCACACTCCTCTAATTTGAGCCTCTCCTTACGATTCCTAAAGGTATTCACATCCAAGATTGTGGTTTGCAGTTGTATTTTAAAGTGCTTTTCTCTTGTTGAAATGTTAGATAAATGTTGAGAGGGAAATCCTGCCTTTTGTAGGAGCGCAGGAAACCAATTTATTTAAAATCATTAGCTTCCTTTTTTTGACTTGGAAACAATATTTTCACATGAGATGGCAAAGCTCAACTAGCTGAAAATATAGCTATTACAGTAAAGAGCTAAGGTGAGCTGACCAGCTGAACAAGACCACGGATCTTAACCACTGGAGGCTGAGTAGGAAGAGAGAGTTAAAAATTTAAATCATAACAAAAGCAAAACTGCAGAGATTTTTCAAGAACAGCTGACAAGATTGCTGTCATAGGAAGTTACACGCATAGTGAGAGTGGGTGCTTTTGAAGGAAACAATATCTCTTTTCACAATAACATGCAGTTGTACATTTTCAGCATCTGCTATAAGAGCAACACAATAGCAACCTCAACTTTGTTTTCTTCTTTGTGTATTTAACATGCACACAACAAACTTCAGAGTGCAATGGGTATTCAGCTGCTCACAGAGTAACACACAATGAAAAAATGAAGTGCAGTGAGCTGACTGCATGGAATCTTTCACATCTCATTCTTCATAGGTTGATAGCACATGACAAGAAGGAGCTGCGGAAACTTGGCATCACTCATGTCCTGAATGCTGCACATTCAGCATGGGGAAGCAAAGGGGACCAAGGTTTCTATGGCCCAGAAATCCATTATCATGGCATAGCTGCAGAAGATTCCACTGATTTTAACCTTCGCATGCATTTCTACCCTGCCTCCAAATACATTAACAAAGCACTGAATGTTTTGAATGGTAAGAGCCTTTTGATGATAATCCTCCATATTTGTGTAGCCAGTTTCAGCCAAGGATCACAAACTGCTTTGGAAGCATCAGCTAAGCCTTACCCAACATTGATGTGGGGGGAAATATTATCTTGCTTTATGGGTAGGACCAAACTGAGGCACAGGGAGTTTTGATTAACAAGATAAAAACAAATCAGGATGTAATGACACCTAGTTTTTAAAAGTCATTCTAGGTTGATTTAACACTACACAACACACCAGAACTATCTACTTTACTGAGTATGAAAGGTCTTCCTTCTCACAATGTACTTTTAGCTAACAGCAATCACAGAGATGTGCCAATAAGAGAGTTACAAAAATCAGGATTTTTCTGTTTCTTTCCATCATAATTTTTTCAAGACTCCAGACAGAGAAACTAATTGCTGTTCATTTACAGAAAGGATCACTGGAATTTCCTGAAGGTTAGAAATACTCCACCCATCATAAATTAGGACTCTGTGAACAACTGGGCAAGGTAGAATCACCAACAGGAAGGACAGGCAGTTTTTCTACCTACGAAAAACCTTGAAGGAACCATCAGGGAGAGATTCATTCATTGATTCTGTCAGAGGCTCTGTAAACACATCCCCTGGCAACTGTAGCCACACTCAGTCTCCAGGTGGCAAAGCTTATTTCTGGGCATTGATAGCCCTTCTGCCAGGCCTACTTTCTGTCCCTGCTGCTTTTGGGAGGATAGCCTTCCTTCAGAACCATTCACCAAAAGCTTATGGCAACCAGGAGTCAGTGTACCTCAGAAATGACTAATGTCTTATAAACTGAAGTCTGACCTATTTATTACTCATCCCCTTCCATGCTGTGCGGGAACACAAATAGGCTTGCACAAGGCTAACAAGAATTTGTACCATAGTTACATCTTGGGTGCAGTACCTGTTTTAATACCCACAAACAATATTCTAAGTACCTGTAATTATCCACAGGAAATATGTAACACAGACAGCAGCTGTAGCACTGAGCTTCCCTCATAGTACCCCTTCTGTATGCTTTAGTACCATTGCTAATAGAGCAATAGCTATTGCTCTATTAGCGGGTCTCTTCAAGGTTAGTCATTGGTAGGAAAACTGCCTGCCCTTTCCTGTGGCCTGAATCCACCTTATCCAAAGGTGTAGTTAGTAAGCCTGTCAAAGCAGCTAGTATTCACTTCAGATTTGGATTCGGCTGATTTGGGGGACAGTGATTTGATACGGTGATTCGAATCACTGTCCCAAATCGATTTGGCCAAATCAGCCAAATCTCTGAATTGGACAGGCCCTATCCCCGATCCACTCTCACAGCCCCGTCAATGGCAGCCCCACCCACCCCAGCTCCCAGCTCTTAAAAAAAA